TTTGTGCTTTTGGAACAATGTTTGGAACAACTAGAACAATCTATATCGGTATCGGAATACTTTATTTTAAAAAAATGGGGTGCCAAGTCAAAAACATTTTTTTCACTTTTTGGACTTATAATTCAACTTACGGATTTGTCCTTTTGGAACAATGTTTGGAACAACTAGAACAATCTATTGCGGTATCAGAATGTTCGATTTTCGAAAAGTGGGACTCAAAAAATCATTTTTTTTGTTTTATTCGAAAACCGTTTCGAATGAAGCAATATCACTTTGGAACAATGTGGTACAAAGTCAGAACAATCTGGAACAACTTTCAAAATTATAAATTTCAAGAAGTGGGGTGCCAACTTCATACACTTTACATGTGGCCTATTGTGCGCGCTACCAATCGCGAAAATTCAGCGTGTGCATTGCACGGCGAGCGGATTGCGTTGTTTCTCACACCGCGCCGTTTTCCCTCCGTCGGGAAGCGGAAACGTTGCATACCGCGGTGCGCCGCAACGTTCAACCTCGTCGTCGCGCGTCCGTGCCAGCCAGCTCGGGGTCGCAATTCTTTACTTTTGCCCGGCGGTTAATTGCAACAGGCTAGACGTAACTTCCTCGTGCTTTTCTTTCGGTTCCTCGCGAAAGAGCGCGCGCTGCAAAGCGGCGGCTCTCAACAATTCACCGGGATTATCACGTAGGTGTTTGATGTCTTGTTGATAAGACGCGCTCTTACGAAGGCGGATTGTGTTTTTACAACGGACACGAGTTTAGGGAGGATGAAGGTGTGGAGCGTGCTTTTCTACTTTCTACAGCTGTGCCATTAGTTGTAAAGGCCAAATCACACTAGCGATTGGCGATTGACGATTGACAATTAAAGATTAGATTTTAACGAATCAACAAGCTTCAGCCTTGGCTTGCTTTGTTCCAATTGGTCAAGTTCCAATCTTCAATCGTCAGTCATCTATTGCCAATCGTTAGTGTGATTTGGTCTTTAGGCGGATCACATATAATTAAATCAGACGTGAGATAAATGTGTAGCGCGTGAAGAGCAGCTTTTTTTTCACTTTCCATGCACTCGCGGCGCGGCACGATTTTCTAATTACCTTCTCCTACTTTCCCAGCGACAGCATGGGCTTAACATTAAACGACACATGCGTATTTTACGATAAAATTACTGGGTCATGTCACAGATACATGATCATCGCTTTAGATATCGCAAGACGCGTAACTCATTGATCGCGCGATTTTTAGAAGACGTTTCCCCGCATGTGAGAAACAAATATTTCTCCCCCGCTTTCTGTGAGCTAATTGATTGTTAGGAAAATCGCATTGCGATGAAATCAAACGTGCGACGAGCATAATGCGATCGCGCGCAGAACGAGTTCTTTTTTACTTTCTTTACTCTCTATGCTCCGGGCGAAATCGCTCGCGACGCGATAAACCCGATAAATTCCCAGGCCGCTCCAGCAAAACGAGCGCGAGGATGGCACGTTACTGGCGAAATGAACTCGATAAAGCGAGTGCCGCCGAAAAGGAGTAATAAACTTCACGGCGAAACGCGCGGACCGGCGCGGGCGCCGCGGCTCAGTCGTCACATTCAAACAAAAGTGCCGCGGCGCGTCTCGCGAAAGAAATTCGCGATTTCATAACGCGGCCAGAGCTCTTTTCTCTTCTTATGTGGTTCCCTTCTCCCGTCGTCTCGTCTCGTCTCCTTTCTCTCGTTCGTCAGTAGGCCAGCGGACATTCTCGCCGGCCGCTTTCCAACGCGCCGCGTCTGCTTCGAATTTCTCGATGCGGCGCACCGAGACGGCGGCCATTCCCGCGAAGATCTATCGATCCGGCGGGCAGGATGCAGGGACCTTTTCTACGTGTCCGAGGCGAACGGCCCCGCGTCCCCGTTTCCGCAATTCGCTCGAAAAACCCGCATCGGCTGATGCAAGCCGAGCTGGCGAAAAAGCGCGCCTTCCTACGGAATGGCCGCTCTCTCGTATGCGCCATCATCCTCACGTGCGCCTTGCGACCCTTCGTGTTCTCACGCGCCTGCTCGTGAATTATTATTTCACTTGAATATCTAACCTGTACTGCGAAGGGCCAACTAAACGTTCCGCGTACAGACTCGAGAATATTGTGGTGGAACAGGGAGAGAGAGAGAGAGAGAGAGAGAGAGAGAGAGAGAGAGAGAGGGGGGAGGGGGAAGAGAGGAGAGAAGGAGAGGGAGACAAAAGGCAGACGGGTAAAATGGGAATTGCCAAGCGCCTTATTCGGGTAGATGAGAAAAGGAGAAAGAGGTCCGGCAGTTCAGACCGGTCCATGGTCCATTTGGCAGTGTTCCGCTGCTCCATTCAAGGTCCACCTGTCCAAATCTGCGATCCCTTTCCCTTGCACTTTCAAATTCACGACATTTTGCCGAGGGTAAAATCGACGCACGCCTAGTAAACGAATCTTACGTTAGTCTGTGTTGCAGTAAGAGATTTCCCTCTGAATATATGTAAATATGACAATGTGAATCGCGCAAGGAATCTACTTGACGTTTAGCAGACGTTAATTTGACGATTCAATAAAAAATACAGTCAAAAACCAGTAACAATGTAGGGCATATAAGAGAAGGTAGTGTGCATTGTGAAGGTCTCGTGCTTGGCTCTTATAGGCCCTGCATTGTTACTGATTTTCAATCTCAAAATCTTTCTAACACTTTTTGGCATTCAGTCAATTTAGCAAAGAGTACGTGTTTAAGCCGTATCTTTTTCTCATGTTATTACTTCTTCAAGGAACTGAACTTTCGTGCTCTTTGATCTTGCTTCCAATTAACCCGGGAAAAAGTGCCAAGAACATCGTAGAGGATTACTTTTTAGATTATCGAAATTATACACAATTTTTCAGACAAATAATTGCTGCGATTGACCGTGTATAATAAAGATAACCTTCTCTTATGTTCTTATAACCTATAAACCGTATATTTTGTCCTACAACAACAAAAATACGAACATGCTGCATCGTGACCATTTTGCTCTGTGAATACCAGGTCAAGTTGCCTAGTAATCCAGGGTAATGCAGGATTTACACGATATCCGACATACAATATCCGGATATATCTAATAGGAAAATTAGTTTTCTGAACAGAAAAATGTCAAAACTCTAGGAGACAAACCCTTTTTTTATTTATTTATTGTATATCGAATCGTCGAATATTGGACGCAATATGAATCCTACATAAAAAAGAAGACTATATAAAACATGTATCCTGGATTTAATAGTTCTTAATTTTTTAATCTAACTCAGGATTTTCGCCAGAGGTCTCCATAGTCCCTCCACGATCTTCCGCCAACCTTTAAATATCAGTTGACAGATCCGTCCGTATGCTCGATTTCAATCATTTTATAAATGAAAATCGCTTTTACTATCCGAAACAGTGTATCATACATCTGCAGGAAACTTAATTCTAACTAATAATATGTCGCTTAAATTTATTCATGGACGATGAAGAATATTAATACAAAATATCAAAACGCTCAAAAATATACTTGGTAATTCCTAAGTCAGTTAATTCCTCGGTAATTCCCAACAGATTTTAACTGATACTATTTCGATTTTAATGAAAGGTGTCTACGTGTTCTGAAAGAAACAGTTTGCGATCTCGTTTCCACAATCTCTTTCGCGATAAATAAACAGACGAAGCACGGTCAACTTGACTCTTGCTTCAAGTAGACTTTCTTGCACGCACACATCCTTGTTACATTTGAAATTGTTCCCGTGTTTATACATACTATAACCCACCGAGCACAATCTCATTATTATGCATTATTCGCATAGCTGCAATTTTGATTAATCGAGCGTTTCGACACGCGTCACGTATTCCTCGTCTCTGCGCCTCCGATACAATAATCCCGGGATTTATATTCGGTGCCTCCGCACTACGAGCGTGTCAGTGCCATCACCAGCACGGGCACTCAGACATGTGTTTGTGAACGCGAGATTTATGCGCGTGTATTCGTGACATCACCTGCATGGTGGGGAGATAGAGGAACGCGCACCTGATGCGGAACGAGCTTTCCGACGCGACGATGCGACTGTGTAACCGCTCCTGCACTCAGTTGGTGGTTGGTCTCGGTTGAGATCGCGACAACGGACGTCGAGCATTTTTCGGCCTTGACATTGCACAGCGAGCGCGAGAGCGGAAGGTCGCTTTTTGCCGGATCGCTGCGGGATCGTTGGAGGAGTGTGCATATGTATTTTCAGTGCGAGTGTATATCGCGGTTCGTTTCATTTTTCTCTACGGAGAAGCGTTTGTTCCGACTAATAATAATAGTTTAGAATGTTCATCGAAGAGACACGGAGCCGAAACAAATCGCCAAGTATCCGAAGAATTGACGTATGATCGACTCGAAACTGCAGAATAGGTTCGATGATGGAAAAATTCGCGCGTTGTTGCATGTTAATCTGTACGTGAATACACGTAAAGAGTAAAACAAATTATATCTGAGTGTATAGAATAATCCTCGTCGTTATCCTGTATTAACGTTAGCTTTCTGGACAATTTTGCGCACGCTTCTAAAAATTCCAAGATCGAGATACGTTCATGACGAAGTCTTCTATCAAATCGCTACTCTAAATCAGCTGCAAATTTTATGTTCACTTACCCTAATGTTTATTGTAGAAATTTTAGGGAAGAATTGTTCAAATCATACCGCTCTCCTAAATTATATTTCATTAATCGTATCTTTTTTTATGTTTGTAGCACGTATATTGAAAAAAAATCTTGTAATAATTAACAAATTTGGTTTAGTTGAGTATTTTAGTATTTGATAGTTAGTATCAAGTATGGCAATAGAGTTACAAACTATTAATAATCTGATAATAATTAAAAACAATTTTTTGAACTAATTAAATTGATACTTAATTCAATTGAAAATTAATTCAATTTAAACTAATTAAATTCAACTAATTAAATAGTTTGGTACAAAATATCAAATTTCGTAATAATTACTAAATAGTTTCACTATTACTAAAGTAATACTCAATTATTAGACTATTAATATTAGTCAAGTCAGTATAATTAGTCAATTAATGGATTATTGCTAAAGTAATTTGATAATAATTACTAAATAGTTTGACCATTACCAAAGTATTTGTCATCTCGTATATTTTCATCACATAATATAGTGAGTATCAATAAACAATATGGTTTTTGACAAATTTTCTAGTGATACATATCACATAAATTGATAATAGTCACGGGATTTTAGCATATTATTTAATTATATTCACTTATATAAATTTAGTTGAAACATTATTTCACCAAAGCATCTGGTAACTATTATCCAGGCTTGATGGTTATTAACAAACCTTTTCTTCCGTGCACAAAAGTAGATACAATCTGAAAATTATTTGTTAATATTTTTCATTGTTTATTTATTTCTCAGGTTTTACCGTTAGATGTCGTTCACATTCAACAATAACAAAGAAATGAAATACGATTTAGGAGATCGGCATGATTTCGACAACTCTCCCTTCCACCTCGAGTGATTTCCCTTATTTCACGCACACCGTACACAAAATGGTTCGTCTCAGTCTCTCCGATAAAAATCGGTGAATGGCGGTGAAGCAACGAGGTAGAAGAGCGCATTCGCGTTGCACTCCGCAACGAAGCCTGCGATCGAGGGAAGAAGGGAGTGACAGAGAGAAAGAGAGAAAGAAAGAGAGAGAAAGAGAGAAAGTCGATTTCTTAATTAACCTGCGAGGGAAAGAGAGGGAGAAAGTCTATAGCCACCGGTACTTGTTAGCTTCGATAACGGTAAACGTCATCGGCCTGGAAGTAAAGCACCGAGCCGCTCGAGTGCTTTCTCGTTGCCGACCGATCGAGACGCCGGTATTACGATCGTACGTCGTTACAGCAAAGTAACAGAATCGATTCGCGAAGATCAATGATCTCCTTTGATCGTGTCTTTCGTCTTTTCCACTTGAACGTGAGCGCTACTCGATGTAAGTTCGCGTTGATACCGTCTCTTTGATTTGTCAACGAGCTCGAGCTTCACAATTCCCCGTCGTCGGGAACTTTTAATAAATTTTCACGGACGAAAAATGAGCCTTCGTGACAAGTACTCGCATATTTTTATTTCAACAAATTACGTTAATCAAAGAAATTGGCTTTTTATTGAAAGAAACGCAAGTTTAGATGCGCTTTTAGTATACTTTTCCTTTGATTTTAAGATGCGATTTTAATACGTCTGTATTATTTTCGCGCGACTGCTGCGCGACCAAAGCGTCATCATTCTTAGTCATCTATTTCGCTAATCGACGAGCTCCATGCTGAGTGGACTTTTTATCTGCGCCTAAAGGGATCGTGTTTCCATTTGAGAAGCGAAAAGAACGAAGGCACGATCTCGCGTGCACACAGTGAAATTTATTTCGCGTAATAAGGTTCTCACGCGAAGAGGAGAGTGAGAGATTTAAAATAATATTCGTGTAACGGTTACTTTATCTTGAAGTGGGAAATATCGTCTCGCACGCGCGGAATTAACGGTGAACATTGTAAGACGAAGTACGTCTCTCAAAACTCCTTTCGAGGCTCCTTCCGCGCGCGTAATTATTATAAAAAGGACCTTAATGTTTTCGGCAGTTTTGGCGCAAGCGTTCGTTTAACGGGTATTTATCCGAATACGTCATCTCGCGCCCAATTAACGAGAGGAAGACGCGGTCAACGTTGCGAAATATACTTTACACAATATGCCTGTTGCGCGTTTAATTGACCAAGATACAGTGAATCCGACGCGCCCGCGGTTCCCGCACTTATTAGCATATATTTTGCGCTTGAGAAAACTTGTCCCGGAGCATTTAAGATATTTCTTCTTCTTCTTCTCGTAGCCTACTTACTTCGCAAGAAAAAAGAAACGCGATGTGTCGAATGATAGAAGAACGCGCGATACTAACAATATTCTTCAATATATCCAGATAACTCTTCGGTAAGCTGCACTGAAGAAAAGTCTTGTAATAGTCAAAAAGTGTAATAGTCAATAATTGACCGTTTTAGTACAATATTTGGTATAATTAGTATCAAATATGCTGGTAGTAATCAACCGTCTGATAATAATTACAAAATAATTAGTAAAACGAATTCTTCATTTAATTGAAAATAACAAATGATTTGATAAATAATACCAAACAATTCGACAATGATTACCAAATTGTTTGATAATTACCAAAGCGTTTGTTCACTTACATATATTTATCATATAGTACGGTGAATATCACTAAAAAAATACGATTTTATTTAATGAATTAGTTGGTGATACGTATAATATAAATTGGTAATAGTCACCGAGCCTTCGCAATAAATATCAAGATTGTTAAGGTTATTTATTAATACTTACGAAATTATATTATTTAATTATATTCACTGGCACGTCTAGTTGAAACTATTTCTCCACAGCATCTGATAACTATTACCTAAGCTAGATAATTATTGCCAAGCTCTTTCTTTCAGTGTAAGTAACGGTTCTTTCATAACAAAGATTGTACGATGAAAATATGATGAAAAATCTGGTATATGAAAAGGGAGGAGTTGAAGAATCTTCACGTTGCACGTCCTCAATGAAATTTTCACATTCGCGTCTCGTTATTAGCTGAAATGCTCAAGAACACACTGTACATTCCTTTCTTCCGTCGTAATATCACCTCGGATAGCATTCGCCTCGGAAAGTCTTCAGTATATCATAATATTGAGAATCTGCCTGCGCTAAGCCTTTCGACCAAACTCTCGCGTTTATCGGAGCTCGAAGACACGGCGTCTCCCTTCAATGAAAATGATAAGCTGGCACCCGAGCATTAACCGGCTGCATCTTCCTGCCAGTTGAGAGTTGCAGGCCGATGCGTGCAACCGGCTTCAAGATAATCTGCCCCCTTCCCACTGGTGTACCTCGATCCTCTCCTCTTTATTTCCCTCACTCCTCGTGCCTCCCTCCGGTCGTCTCCCATTCTCTCTCTCTTTCTCTCTTTTGCACACTTCTGCCCTCGCGGTCGGGTGCGTATCCACTTTTATGCGGCTTTTACAGCACTAAGTCACGGCTCGTTCTGGGCGGCGGAAGAGAGAAAAAGGCTCTTACAGCGGCCATTCATTCCGCTACTTTCGCGAGTGTGAGAATCACTGCAGTTTTCTTAACGTCAGTGATAGGGGTGTGCGATCTCAGGACGACGATAAGTGCGGCGAACGACCTGACTTTAATGATAAACAGTTTAACTCCAAGTACACTCCAAGTAGGTAAACTCGTGTGTGACTGGTTCGTTCATCGGCTCGCCTACCACTGGCTGTGCAGAAATTTGTTGTATTTTCATGATACAATCAAATCCGACACTTGGTCAAATTTGATACAATAAACTTCCAACGAGCGTCCGATCATATCGCCTTGATGTGAGTTCACTTGTATGTAAAGTACTCGCAAGAACTACTTAGCACCGTGTGAAGTATTAGCAACGGACGTTATTTGAGATACGATGTTGTCGTATAATTACACGGCGGAAATAATAAGCACTTGTTAAAGGCGAGAGGTCTGTACTTAAAGCTTAAGTCGTTAGGTCAACCCGCGACCGGAGTGGAATATAAACAGATCTCCTCTCTCGAGACAGTCATTATTATATATATTTACCATAAGTTGCTGTCGTTTCACTGGCTCGTTAACGTCTAATCGGAGAGTGCGAACGTTAGGTAGAGGAATATCAGTGATCCGAGACTGTGATTGACGCGGTGTATACGATATAATCGAAGAGATAATTGTGCGAGATAACTTTTGGAGAGAAAATCTCGAGAAGATAATCGTTTAGAGGAAGGTGTCCCTTTTTATTTCTAGTTTCCAATAGAATCTCGTTGGAGGCATGTTCGTAATACAGGAGAAGAAATCACTTGGCAAGTAGGAGCGACGTAGGCGTGACGGAGAAGAAAACTGTATCTCGGTGAAATGTCATGTTAAGAGTGAAAGTACTGGAATTGTTCGGGAGAAAACTCAAAAGTGAATCACAAAGCTAATGTTCAGGAGAAGACGCGTTTGAGAAGATATGAGAAAGACGCGTGCTACCTAGGAACTACCGTTGCCTACTGCTCTGTTCCCAATGCGCCAGAAAGTTGATTTCGGGGTGCATGGGAATCCGGATGCAACAGTGCGAGATGAACTAACGACCCCGACGAGAGTCGATGAAATTGGAGCGTGCCCTCTCCACCGGAAGTAACGACCCGAAGAAGAAACCGTCGTCTCTCTTATCGAAACTAAACTAAGTAATTCTTCATTAACATGTTTGAAAACGCGTCGAAATGGGCGGCCGTCGGTGGCAGCGGCGGCGGTGGTTCGCGCTTAATCAAAGCCAAGAGCAGTCCGAACGTGTCGAAATCGCCATCCTCACTCATCAAAAAGCAGAACCAATCGGCCGTCCTCACATCTCCAAGCAAGCCGCCGCGTACCGCGAAGGCACCGACAATCTCGAAAATATCCAGCAAGACAGCCGCTAACGAGGCGGTTAGCCCACCCCGTCGCGGTCCCGCCAATTTGGACTCTCCCAAGACTCGGCTTTTCTCGCCTTCGAAGCAGCGCCGGTGCCCGAGCGAGACCCGGCCGGATACGGCAAAAACTGTCTCACCCGCCACACGCAACAACGACAAGAAAAAGGTCTGCAAGTCGGCCAGTTCGTCCCCCACTTGCACGATACTGGAGGATCGAGCGTTACTGAAGAAGGGACTGATTTATACGCCCAACGACAAGATGCCGGCGAAACCCGAGGGCTTACGGGGGAAGGCCACCTTGGACCGTTCGGTCAGCCTGGGCTGCGTGTCTTCGGACAACCAAGCGGCGAGTCCCGCGAGCATCCCTCGCGGGATCCCGATTTCCTCGGAGAGACGGTCGCAGGCGCACGAGAGAGACAAGAAGGCGGAATCGCCCCGGCGCAAATTGACACCTATGAACAGATCCACCAGTCTATGGAGCGTGCAGACGCCGAGAGCGGATTACAATCAATGTAGAAGATCTTCCGGCACGTCCGCGAGGCTGAACTCGGTCTTCAGGCCGAGCAAGATACCGCTGCCAGCGACTCGACCTACCGGTCTCGGCCGATCTCTCGCCGATCTATCGCAAGTAGATCGCGTCGGAGAGTCGATCGGCCAAGTGATTAGTTTCGAACTCGATCTCGACGCCACTTCAGACGAGCGTATTTACGAAAATTGTCGCGAGACCCTCGATCGTGCGTCCAAGCTGGGTAGCCCCGGGATCTCGGTGTCGACGAGCAACCTGGAAGAGAGAGCTGCGCGGCTGATGGCGCAATTAGATGACGATGAGGAGGTGACCGCGCCAATGGATGTCGTCGATGTCGCTCTTCCGCGTAGAAAGGAATCCATCTACGGGGATCGAGAGACCTCTGATGACAAATGCAAAAGTAATGTTATCGAGGAGAAACGTAGTTCCGATAAGAACTGTCTGGATGACTGCAGCGACAATAAGTCAAGGGCCTGCGAAGAATCGGAGAGAACAAGCGCGGCTCTCACAGATAACAATACGAAGTCGGAGGAAGACGTTCCCAAGAGAAGGGAGTCCAACGTGCGAGAATACAAGTCGAACCGAAGGGACTGGGCGAAAAGCTGCGAGAAGCCCGACGAGATCATCGAGGAGTCGAAGAAGAGCAAGGAAAGTCTGAATATCCAAGAGCTCAGGCGCAATTGGGAGAGGCATAGCAGAGGTGCCGCGGATCAAGACAACGACGCGAAGACGATCTACACCGGGAATTCCGCTAAGAAAACCGTGAACCTATCCAAGATCGCTCGGAACGAGGGCGACGTGGTCGACGGCGCACAGGAGATGAAGAGGAAGCAATGCGTCGGTAAGAGAGCCAAGGACATCGAACACCTGGTGAATTTCTTCAACTGTAAGAACGCCGAGGCTTCGAAGGAGGCGCCGCGCGAGACTTGGATCAAGCCAAGATCAACGGACGTTCCGGTCGTAGAGACGCCCGCCGCTCTGAAGAAGAACGAGCCCAAGAGCGGCCACGAGTACAGCGGCTATGCATCGGATGGGAATTGCTCGGAGGACAGTGGGCACATGAGCAATGAGAACGAGGTGGAGTGGAAAGATGCCGTGGACAGTCAGAGTCAGAGAGAGACGGCTGACTACAAAGGGACGCGGGAATACTACGATGCGATCGATCCGGTTGACGACATGAAGATCTTCGACACGACCATCGCCCGCAGACTGGCCGAGTCTGAGAAGAAAAAGATCGCCAGCCAGTCGAGCCCCGCAGTGTCCAGCGGCGCCAGCAGTATCGACAGTTGTCGGGACGACAGATGCCTGGAAATTGGACGACAGGTCCGTCGTGTGATGATTACAGTCTTGCGCGCTCGTTGGTTTCAAACTAGCCGATAGCGCTCGGTAATTAGGAGCCCGCTGAATAATTAGGTCGCGCCGATCGCTCCGCGTGTCCGCATGCGATCCTTCGCCGTTCCACGCGAAAGGCGGAAAAAATCGAGATCTTCTACGCTTACAGCAAAAGACATGCTGATGGCAGCTACATGCGGGTGACAACTACACATAGAAAAAGTATCATTCTACTGTTAACACGGAAGAACAGATTCGGTTGAATTAATCAAATGTCTGGTGAAATGTGAACGGATCAAAATTCGAGAAAATTCAAGAGGTTGAAGTTAACGGAACTCTGTTGAGAGATCAACGAGATTCTGGTCAATCAGAATTTAAAACTATTCAACTTGAACACGAACAATTTACTTGAACAGTTGCGAGTTCGGATCGACCAGAAATTTCGTTTGGTTATCTGGAATCTTGTTAACTTAAACAGGATTCCGGTCACTTTCAACAGAAGAATTCTGACTCATTCATATTTCACAAGATATTTAGTTAATTCAATCAAATATTTTATATTGAAGAAAAACGACTGCTCAATTCATCATTATATATTCAAAAGAAAATATTATTCTCTACACAAAAATATTATATAAAACTTTATCGAAGAGAAAGCTGGTTCGACTCTATATAGTAAGTAGACCGAATTTTTGTCTCAATTTAGTATTCTTTATTGAAATGCTAAACTTATTAGGATTCAGGATGTAGTTTGAATAAATTTAATATTTATGATTAACTTTCGATTTGTGGATATATAAACTTATGAAATGTTTAAACCAGGTAACATTTACTTGAATGCAGTATGTATTTTTCTGTGTATATAGTTTTGTATGTTGTAAAATTAATATATACAGCCTAATAAACTATTTGATAATTATTGCAATTAAAACTGATTGGTTACATAAAGTATATAATTACTATACAGTTTTCGTAATCATTTAGCTTCCGTTGCAATAACTATAAAACAGCTGATCAAACTGTATATATTAATTTTACATAAGGAAACTCGGACAATTTGCACCTATATAGCTGCCATCATCATGTCTGTACTTTTTTGAGTGTACGATCGAGCAATTCAGCCGGCCGATAACGCTCGATAGCATTCGATAACTACGTGGCTACATGAGTCACCATCAATTAGCTGTTTTCCCATTTTCCATTCAAATTTAATGGGTACTCCGACTTTATATATGGATATTGTCTGCCGTTATCTATATCCTCAAATAATGAGAATACTTGCAACACGGTAATTACCGAGTGATTCATAAGAATCGTTAAAATTTCGTAATACATATAAAACTGAAAGTGGCTCTATCGGCACGGATATCGATACCAAGTACATTCACTATGCAGTCTTATGTAAAAGCGCATCCTCTCTAATGCAATCGAGACGCCACGATGTGCAGCGCATTTACGCTCCAGAAGGTATATGTGCTCATCCTTCATTTCCATACGTTGAAAGCGGCGGAAAACTGTGCCATGCATACTTTAACATTTTCCATTCTGCCCCTGAACTCGAGTTTGATCAGGGATTTTTCTCTCATTCATGCGCGTACACGACTAAGCGCTGCTACTCAGCTCGATGTAGGCTCCATATTCGATGGAGGATACCAAATTAACGGCAGTTATAAAATTTGCGTTTCGAGCGTTAATGAGCGTTTATCCATGAGGAAATTGATGAAGCCGCTCCTATCATTTTGTCTGTTATTTTTATCCGCAGATATTCTTCAGGTCCGGCACTCTAGAACGACTAGAAGCTCAGCGGGACGAAAAGCTCACAGGTCATATCATTTTACTGCAGGCGAGATGCAGGGGCTACTTGGCGCGGCGCAAGCTCAATACTCTGAAGGTGGGTTGTTAATTCTTCCCCCGATAATTAAGATATTTCTCCTGAATTAGAAAAGTGAATTCAGGGAGAAAGTTTTCGGTGAGTGATCGTGAGAAATCGTGAAAGAACACTCTCACTCGTTTTTCTCAATTAAATAATTACAGTTCGCCATCGAAAATTACGATTCTATTCGTAACGTAATAAGTCGACATTCACGAAGAATTATTCATGATATGTTAATGGGAGGTCTCACTTTTTTAGATCTGGAATTTGAAACGGAATATTAAGCATTTAACGTCTTCATACACTTTATGTTTTCCTCGCGAGGGCAACACGACACAAGTGACCTAATAATAATTTGTATAATTATAATTAATATAATTTGGATCTCGAATTATGAACTGAATTTCTTTGCAGTTGCAAGATCTCGCGGTGAGATGCATCCAAAGGAACGTGAGGAAGCTAATGTCCGTGCGAGAATGGCCTTGGTGGAGATTGTACGTGAAAGTCGCGCCCTTGCTGAACGTTCATCGGACCGAGGATCAGTTAAAGGCGCGAACGGTGAGAAAAAAGAAAGAAAACGACCTCTACCGTGGTTTATTCGCCATCATTGTTGTCTAATACGGAACATCTTTGTGTACCAACAGGAAGAGCTCGAGCTTCTCAGGGCGAAAGTGGAACGTTTGGAGCAGGAACGTAACCACTTGAAGCACGACAACGACAAGTTAGAGGCGAAGGTAAACTCACCTAACGAGGGTCCTAATTGCGTCTTAATTAACGACGAATTGCCGTAACGACTATCTACTTTTTATCTATGATGTGTGTGGCATAATATTTTTCCTTGTCGCGACTAAAACGTATAGAGTGACCTGTCCAGTAAATGAACAAGCCAGCTTAATCTTCTCCGACGTATCTTTTTTGACACAATCGAATAACTTGTAAGTTATCTGTAGTTACTCATAGAATTCATTAGAAGCCGCCATATTGAGCGGTTGAATTTTAATCTACAATTTGAGTGGTATTATCCCTGTGAAATCGAGAAAGAGAGAGATTTAAGACAGATAATAATTAAAAAGAATCAATACGTTTGAAAAAGTAAAAACAGTATATCATAGAATCATTTTTTATCTCGAAAGGGGGGAGGGATGAAGAAATGGAATGCATGATAGAATTGGAACGATTTCGGACCACTACAGATTTTAATACGGTAACACTCGCAAGCTTCATGATTATCATCAAGTTATTCATCGAGCTTTCATGTTTGGACAATTGATAAACGCGCGTATTCCTAATCACGCTCGCGTCATACATCGTCTCCGTCAATGGGTGACAAAATGTTATCGACCATTACGCCATCGTCATGAAGGCACTGCAACAATATCACTAAACTGTAAAATATCTGGTTTGAGTTCAACTCACTTACGTGCATCACATATTTTAATATTATAACAAATACTGGAAATATTGTTCGTTCACTTTGAGTGATGTTCAATTCTGCAGACAGGGCACCTTATTTATCAAGTTTGTTACGATGAGCAGCCCAACTGCTGCCCATTGTCGCGTCATCTCTCTGTCCTGCCATCTAACGCAATATGATTCTGCGTCCGGCTACACGATCAATCTAATAGAGACGCTCTCTTGAAGGATGCATCAAGTCCAAATCGCCCGTTTAGACATTCGCGGCACGCGAGTCGCGCAATTGGGTTAAGCATGCCAGACGACGAGCATGTGCAACTATTACCGTGACTCGACTGGCAGACCGCACATTATGCTTCCACTCTGGTCCGTCCGTTAATACGTAAAAATTGCGACAACCCACACGGACTCCGCGCGAAAGACGGATACTCGAAAACCACCTTTCCTTCCTGCACTTTTTTCTATATCTCTTTAGTAAACCATAATTAACTAAAACTATCACTTACCAGTTATACCAGTAATGACTGGTTTACCAGTCACTGGAGAGTAACGGTAATAAATATTGCGCGACAAATTTTTCCGATATTGCCGATGTTCAAATCTCTCTTTGAGATGGTGCTGAGTTTCACCGTTCATTCTTAAGACTGCTCTTTTACTTTAACTATCAATAATTTGTCGTAAATTAACGTGTGACATAAAATATTTTTAATCTATCTCTTCGCCTAATTCTGTAATGTTAATTTATAGTACATTATTGATTGTTAGAGCAAAAGGATAGTGTTCGGGCTATTTTATAGATCTGCTCAGTCGTTTGTAAGTGTCGCTTTATGGATATATCCTTTAATTTCAACGTATTTTGCAAAATTTTAGCATGCGTTTTCTCGCTGCTGATGTTATTAAAAAGAGATGGACAATGCGAGAGCACAGAAATTTTAATCGCGGGACAATTTCTCTCCCTCTCTCTCTCTCTCTCTCTCTCTCTCTCTCTCTCTCTCTCTCTGTCTATTCTATTTTTACCGATACAAAGGTAATCCGTAGGTTTCCTACCGAGGTGCTCTAATACTATATTCCCTCTCTCTCTCCTTCTCTCTTCCGATACTTTTCTCACGAAACCCACGGAGAACCTGGCGGATAGCCAGAATCGCCGTCTCGTACGCATCTCTCCACCTTTATCGTCCTCGTCCGGCTCCTCTCTTTCTCGCCGTCTTTCCCTTAGAATAACTCGGAGGTGACCGCCTCCTCCGCCGGACACCTCTGGCCGCGATCGGCCGACCCAGGAAGAGGCAGCAGTTGCACCGCGACTCCTTGCCGACACGGACGCTGTTGTTGTCGTTCGGCGTTACGCAACTCGCCGAATGTAACGAAGTTCCGACATGGAGGCCGGCCGTTGAATCCTCGACACTGATAAAACTACGAGAAAAACCAACTCAAAATGCCATTCGCGACGATCTTACCACCGGAAATCTGTCCAGCTGCCCGCCACATGGATCGGAACGTTTCTATTCTGAACGTTGGCCCAGCTTAATCATCCGCCCCGATCATCGTCGGCTAGACCAGACGAAATGCCGTCCGTGCCGATAATGCAACCGCGTGCTCCGCGCGCTCTAACTCCCTGCTATGACAATCGATATCTGCATACATTGGAAAACATGAGCTTGGGCGATAGACTCGAGAGGAACGACTCAATGAACAGTCTGAACAACGGCTTGTCAAGTTCACCCAATTCCGTGAGGATCTTGACAAGAAGGCCACCCTTGCCACCGATACCCAGCAATCATCATAAAAGGCCGTTTAACAGAGGACACGTTATCGCTAATTCCAGCCCTCTGATGCGAAGTCCTTCCCCTTGTAGTGTCTCCTCCGGCGTCTCGTACGCCAGGTCCTCATCCGCGGGAAGAAGATCACCATCCGTCGCGTCCACGCGAAGTCACTCCCTGCTGGGATCGCCGACCTTCTCGACTCCACCCCGAAGAACGTATCCGCGCGAGAGCACGTGTTCGCCGGCGACAGAGGAGGCCTTGACCAAGGAGCAAGCCCCAGTTGTGTTCGACGCGAGTCTCAACTTCGTCCTGGGCTGCGAGCGACAGAGAGTGAAGCAGTCTTTCCGACCCACCGCCTCTCACATGGAACCATCCACCGCCTCGTCGTACCTCTCGTCGAGGATCTCGCAATTCTTGAAACGCACCGACCACATCATGGATGAGTGGCGTAGCCTCGGTCACAAGGACGAGGCGGAGGACGAGCCGACAAGTTTGCCGAATATCCGAGACATGCCTCGCATTACGATCGGAAGGAGTCACAGCGCCACGAATATCATGATACGCGGCTTTCAATACTACAGCAGGTCGAACAGTGTAGGGAAGAGTTCCTCGAGGCGCTCGTTATCTCGTGCCTCGGAGGATGGCACCTTATCTGAGGGTATACAGGAGGTAATGCAACGGAAAAAGAACCCCGAAAAAGATGCTTGAAGACGGCTTCCAAATTCCTCCACTAAAAGAAACCTCAAAATTCCAACATAAATCTAAATTTCCCCCGACTAATAAAAGCCCATTTTTATCAGAAATTATAATTTCTCACATTTCAGCCCAAAAAATCTATTAATTTCTTTCGTTTTATATCGTAACTTACTTTTAATGATTAAACATATACTAAACGAGTAAATATTTACCTACACATGCCTTTCAATGTAATCTTATCATTCTTTACTAAAAACATATTTTCGTTATACAGATTTTCCTTATGTAATCTTTTAAAGGGAAACCTCCATAGATAAATGGTATCTGATAGATGATAGAAGATATATATTTTATAGCTCTGAACAATATTTGATACACTATTAAAGTGCCGATACATCCTACCAAACAAAATTCTTTAATATCTTTCAACTCTCAAAATTTCTGAAACACATTAAAATACGACACTCTTCTTATAATGAATCCGTAAAGATCCTTACGATTCAATATTTTACTCCAACTTTGAACGTACTTATTATTCAAAGACGTCAAACAGAGATTGTGAGGCATGTAGTAAAGATAATCCGCAGTTCACATGGTGTATCGTATTTTATTCCCTTACGTAAGATCTGCTTTTCTCGTTCAAGCTGAGTGAGATGACCGCAGACTTCGCGGAGGAACATTCTACATCGACTCTGGCGGCGGAGAGAATCGACGCCGAGACGTCGGAGCGACTGCGGCTCGAGCGAGAATTGCAGGATGTGACCGAAGCCAACAAGAATCTTCAGCAGACAACGGAACGCCTGGAAATGGAGTTGCTCTATGCGAGGGCTGCCGATTTGAATGGAGTCGCCTCCGACGGCGAGGAAGGTGAGGACGGCGGTGTTTACAGGCAACGATACGAGCACGCTATCCGCGAGCTCGAGTTCACCAAGAGGAAAATGGCGCAACAGCACGAAGACGATCTGGAGCAACTCGTCGGTTTGAAAAAACAGTTAGAAAAGAAGGTAAGTCTAGACGTTGGTACAGGCTCGAAGGAGCAAACACGAAACCGGTGTCATGTTCTCACAAATATTTTTCGACTAGTTGGCTGATGCTTACGAAGAGGTGGAGGAGCAACGACAAGTCGTCGGGCAGTGGAAACGACGAGTGCAAAAGTTGAACGGCGAGATGCACGATCTCAGATTGCTGTTGGAAGAACAGACAGCCAGGAACAATCTGCTCGAGAAGAAGCAGCGCAAGTGAGTTGCGCCTAAATTCTTGTAGCGAGCCAACTGAATGGATTTATAAGGCTGCGTGCAAATTGCGCACTTTGTCGCCCATTGAAATATATTGTACTTTGCGTGTTTAATCCATAGTTAATGATCTGCAAGTCGGTATCGGGTGGTAGCTCGCTCTATTCTCATTTCACTCGCGGCAACAAGTGTTTCTGGCACCTCGCCAGGCCAGTAACGCCATCCGCACTACAGTGCCAGCCTTCAGCGGCGCGTCCGGTGCGCCTGTAAATCACGATTGACCGTTCGCAAAGATAGCTTCCTATTAATCTAAATACAGCAACGGCGCCAATTCTCGTTACAAGCGGCAAAATTGGACTTGCTTCCGAAACCCTGTCAGTTTTCGTTTCTTCTCACTAGTATACATTCGATACATCCTCACAAATTGATTATTTCATTAATTCTAACGTGTCATTTTATAACGTTATAATATACACAAAGAAAATATTATGTATAATAATTTCAGTCATACATAATAATATATAAATATAATAGTAAATATATGTATAATAATTTCAGTCATAATTCTATATAGTTCAGATTACAAAAATTTGTTATAATTTTTACTACGATACTTTCTCCATGTGTAATAAAATCAGACGGTATAAATTCAAAGATGCTAGGAGATTTCTCATAACTTTTTTATTATTGTCTACGTGAAATAAAATTAGATAGTGTACTGTTGTAACAATTTACGCGTTATTGCACGTTGTAATTTAATTATTATTATATATATCATATTATTATTATATATATAAATATAAATATATATATATATATATATATATA